ACGGGTTGCCATTCCACACGGAGCCTTGAGTTCGCGAGAATAAGGGGGCGAGGGATGATGGGCGAGTAGAGGATGTGGGTGAGGAGGGTGGAAGGTGGGCGAGGATGGGTGAGGAGGAGGGTGGAAGGTGGGTAAGGAGAGGAGTTGGCTGAGGAGAGGAGGTGGGTGAGGAAGGTGTGCGAGGAGAAGAGGTAGGCGAGGAGGTGGGTGAGGAGGTGGGTGAGGAGGTGGGTGAGGAGGTAGGCGAGGAGGTGGGTGAGGAGGTGGGCGAGGAGAGGAGGTGGGTGAGGAGGTAGGCGAGGAGGTGGGCGAGGAGATGGGCGAGGAGAGGAGGTGGGTGAGGAGAGGAGGTGGGTGAGGAGGTAGGCGAAGAGAGGAGGTGGGTGAGGAGGTAGGAGAGGAGAGGAGGTGGGTGAGGAGGTGGGTGAGGAGGTGGGCGAGGAGAGGAGGTGGGTGAGGAGGTGGGCGAGGAGTGGATGTGGGTGGAAGGTGGGCAGGCAGGAGGGAAGGCTCAGGCCGCGCGCTCCCCACGCGCCGCCCGCATCGCGCTGCGCGAGTGGGCGGCGCGGCGCACGGCGCCTTTGTCCGCCTCCATTGAGCCGTGGCGCTCCCGCTCGCCGCGTTACGCATGCGCGCAGCCCGCACTTGCCGCTCCGGGAAAAGTTTGAGAAAGTTTGGCAAAAGTTTCTCAAAAGTTTCCCAACTCCGCGGGGGTCACGTTTTGCGGTGCTCGCCAGGGTCCCGAGGCCGGAGCCGGCTCCTCGGGGGCCCTGAGGACCCCCGGCACGGAACGGGGCCGCGCCTTTTACGCGCGGGGGGGAGCGCAAAGCGAGGCCGCGCGCCGCGCGCCGCGCTCCTCTCGGCCGCCGCCTCAGCCTCCCGCTCTCCGCCCGCCGCCTTTGTTCTACGATAAAGTGAAAGCGTTTTTAGCAAAGGGCAACATTTAACCGTGTCTACTACCTCTCGCTCTATAGTGCACTTGAGCTTGGCAATCTTACTGTGAAAAAAAACTCCCCATCATTGACGGCGTCGTCCGCACCTGTGCTCCGTGCATTCACGGGGACACAAAAACAGCGCGTTTCTTTCTGCCCTAATTATTCAAAGCCCGCCGTGGCCGGGGCCAGCATGTTGTGGTCTGTTCCTCCTTCCAAATGTTTTCTACAGATCCACTGATGCTCATTGTTAGCGCTCGCCAAAGCCCCCACGCTCCCTTTTAGCGCGAGTGAGTGCGCGGGCTCTCCTGCTCTCAATCGCAACATCTGCTTAATCGTAGCGGATCAAAATATGGGGACACAAAACACATGTAATGGTTGATTTGTTAAATCCTGGTAATGAGTTATTAACAAGGGGGGACAATGGACAGTATGGTGAGTGCCTTATGGTAGCGGAGTGACTCTGTGAAACGCTTGACGGCGCGTCCGTGATAGATGGGGAGCTGGGTGGCGCGCCAGGTGATGGTAGGAAAATCAATGCGGATTGCTCGAACACAGAGGAGACGTTTCTCCACGTGAAAAATTGACGAACATAAAATGCAATTGGCCCCTAGCGAGGCAGAAGGTCTCTGAGTGCGATTGTGAGCGCGCGCGGGCGCAGAGAGCAACAACAAAACGCGGCGCGCGGGGTGCGGGTCGTGCCTCACCGGAGCGCCCCTCGTGAGTGTAGATCAAAAAAAAAAACGTGTTTTTATTAAAACACATGCCTTGCTTTATTATTGACATATTGTGCAAAGACAATAGTTAATGGTACATTAAAGACGGACAAACCATGCCAACACGTCTTGGACTTTGTAAGAGCCTCTCTCTCTCTCTCCCCCGCGCTCTGCTTGTTTAGGCAGCTGCACCCGGCCCACGTGACGCGCCGAGCGAGGCTGCGGCTCCAGGTGCTACCAGCCGGGGTGGTGTGGTCGTACGCGTGGTGTGGTCGCCCGCGTGGTGTGTTCGTCCGCGTGGTGTGGCCGTCCGCGTGGTGTGGTCGTCCGCGTGGTGTGGTCGCTCGTATGGGATTCTGAGTTTGGGTGTGTTGAATCATTGAGTGATTTTTGGTGGTTGTCTGAATTAAGTGGTGGTCCGGGTGGTGTCGTGGCCCAAGTGAATGCCGGTGGCCTGCCTGGTGCGGTGGCCTAGAATAAGAGCTGATCCGGGTAGTGTGGAAGCCCTCGTGGTTTTGGTAGCTGTGGTGATGTGGTGACCTGGATTTAGTGATGGTCTGCGTGGCGTGGTGGCTTTGGTAGTGTGATCATCCAGGTGATATGGTGGCCTGGATTTAGTGGTGGTCTGTCTGGTGTGGTAGGCCGGGTGATGTGGTGGATACATGGATTGTGTGACGCCTTGTAGGTGTGTGGTAATGCTCGTGACGAGGTGGTTAAGATCGCGTGTAGCATGGGCGATGTAAAGGTGTGAGCGGTGTGCTCATGTAGCGTGGTCATCTGGGGGGGGTGGAAGCATGGGTGCACTGCGGCACTGGATATTGTTTGGCGGATTCTTGTGTGGTGTGGTATCTTTCTTGCTTTCACGGTGTGCGTAGAGCGATGGATCGAGTGCTATGGCTGCGCGAGTGGTGGCCTGCGGCGGTGTGGTAGTAAATGCGTGGTGTGGCGTGAAGAGTCATGTGGTAGCATGGCGTGTGTGGTGGCCCTGAAGGGTTGTGGTTTCCTGCAGGGATTGGTGGTCTGGGTGGTGGTGTGGTGTGCGATGCTACGGAGCCCTTCGGCAGCACGAGGTTTTGTGGCCGAAAAGGCGGTCCCATTGAAAGCCGTGGCATTTGGCCAGTGGGTCGACTGTGGTGGTCGACAAAGACGAATTTCGCCAGGTGGCCAAGGTGGGTGCTGGGATTCTGGGATTATTGTGAGAGTCCTGAGAGCTGGGGGTTGGAGTAGCGCGCGCGGGGCTGGGCGGGTGGATAGATGTGGGGGGTGGGGGTCGGCTTGGAATGGGGGCACCTGTTGGCGCGAGTTCCCGCGTCGTGGGAAAGGGGTCTCGCCTCTGCTTCCATGCGGGAGCCCCGCTCTCAGAGAGGATTCAGGCCCTGGGACCTGGCCAGGAGGACTCCTCCCATGGGGGCGGCGGTCTCCATATGGCCCCGCGTCGCAGCAAGGCGCGCTGCTTGGTTTCCGAATGACTCATGGTGGCATTGGCGCAATGATCGTGACGAGCTGCCTTCTGTTACAACATTCACTGCACATTGAAGATTTCCATCGTATTTCGGTAAACTCCCACCCCGGTAATTCTACGAATTGTGGTCCAAGTTTCGTTCAATGCTGACATTTATTCTTGAACGTGGCACGGTGCCTGCCGCAAGCTCCGCGCGTCGCGAGGAAACTCGAGGTCGCGCTCGGCTGGCTGCTCGTGAGGAGCCCAGCCTCGCGCCTCGCTCGTCCCCTCGCACCTCCGCAACGGAGGACGCGCGTGCAGCCAGATCCCTCGTTCTTGTAACATTCGCGTGGTAGTGAGCACGATACGTCACACTGGGATGAGCGGCAGCAACTTGGTGGGCTTGCTGGCGTCGCGTTCTAGGGGTTAGGACGCATTCTTTAAAATGTGATGAACGCGGAGTCGTGTGGATGGGGCTGCGAGCAGCGAGATCGTCTGCATTCATCGTGGCTACTGCTGCTGCGTTCGCGCTGCTCAGTGCGGGGCGATGCTGCTGCTGCTGCTGCGTGAGCCGCGGTGCACACGAATGACAACAATAATGATTATTGTATCATAATCATAACGCGGCTGGGGCGGTGGGGGGGGGGGTCATGCCCTCGCTTAATGCGCGCCGCGTTCCGTTGCCGCCGCTGCGCCGCATGGCGAGCGGCGACACCGCGGACTCGTAGCTATTGTGGATGTCGCAGCCTAGCGTGCGCTAGGAAGCATAGGATGCATTCTTGGGGCGATGAACATGACTCACCGTTTGTCGTAGAGGTCATTCCTACAAGCCGCGCTGGTTAATACTATTAACGAGAGCAATTCATAGTGGAAGATACAGATCTAATGACGTCAATCGAAAGGAGTGTCTACGTCACGGTTCAAATTTGTCAAATTACGCCGCAAATCACTCAATTGGGATGACATGTACAGCAGCGAACTTCGGCCCCTACTGGCAGACTCATCGACGCTTGCAGGCCCCAGGTGCTGGAAGTCACCTTGATGCCGCACAGGAACAGCTACCACTGCGGGTGTCCTTTCAAACGTATTGAGTTGAGGTGCAGCGCGAGTCACTTGCCGCGTGTAAATCCGAGCGACGTGCGATGAATGCCGCGTGTCCATGCGGCGCTACCCTGGCCACTGGGGCTGGCGCGGTGCGGAAATCACGACAGGCACCGACAACTCACAGATAGCCCCATTGGCTTTATTCAGAAAGCATTGAATTCCGTCGCGGAAGTACAGCAGATATTGCACTAGGTGCACTCAAACAGCATTCATTTATTAAATTACATCACTATAAATTATATTACTTAAATACTCAGTTAAATACCAGTCGCATAAACGCTTCACATTCATCAATAACACTGTGACCTTAAAATTAAATACATGTAAGGTGACGTTTCGGGCAATGGCCCTTCTTAAATTAAGTCGGTTGAAAATATAAGAGCTTTATTTGTACATTGTCACGAGCTTTTATGACGCTAGTTTCACCATCGTCGTAATCATCTTCATTATAATCTTCATGTTGCCATGTAAACACGGACACTGTGTGTGTCATTGCTTAATTGATGTGTGTGAGTGGATATGGCTGAGTGTGTGGGCCGCCTTCGCATCCCTCGTGACGATGTTTACACACCGCACCAGGTACTCTTTTGAACCTGAGTCGATCTAGGGGAGGCCCAAGACCGGTTTAGATAATCGTCACTGGTCTTGGCTGTGAGCGGGAATCGAATCCGGGTCGCCGAGTTCGTTGCGCAGCGCGCAGACCTAGGCAGTCCCGTGGTCGACTCAGTCTCAAATGAGTACCTGGTGCGGTGTATAAACATCGCCACTGGGGAGACAAAGGCTCCCCTCGTGTGCCGTGCCGGCCTTCATAGGTTAGCCATCTTTCGCACCGTACGTAGCCAACCGTGCTCCCTAACAGCTCCTAAAGTCTGTTGATGATATTTGTAAGTGGCATTGCGTGTTTGCTGTGTGTCAGTGAACAACCTGGGACCCCTTGCAATTGCGGAGTTCCATCTCGAAAGATTAACCAGGCGAAATGAAGAGACGCGTTCCTGTGTAGAGTCTCTGCCTGGGATACGGGCCCTGTTCCCGAGACGTGAGACCGGAACCGGCCTCGGGCCCCTTCCTCACCCGAGGCGCGGGGAGCCCGGGGTCGCGGTCCCCCCGCGCGGATCCTCGGGGGTCCACACTCGGCCGGTCCGCACCACCTGCTGCCCTCGCCGCTGGCGCTCGTCCGACCACGAGAGAGAATGTCCGCTGAGTGGGGGGCTCCCGGGGCAGGCCCCCACCGCCCTGCCAGCCACAGCCAGGAGACCCTTGTCGTGACCGGTCGCCAGCTCCCCCCCCACAGAGGGAGCCCCTGCGTGCAGAAAAAACAAGAGACGTTTCGTCAGCGACCCCGGCACGGGAACGGCGAGTGCGCTGCGCTCTCATCTAACCACGTCTCGATGGCTTTCTATGCGCAGTGCGTTTGTAAACATCGGGATGCCTCCTATATCGAGTCCCTTTCAGAGGCGCCAGGGGGTTGCCCCTGACTGACGGCTCCATCTGCTGAGGAAGTTCCCAGAAGAGTAAGACCAGGCTGAGGGATGGTGGCGATCGTGTGCAGGCCACCTCAACATTATGACTGCCGGCATGGGGTCACCACACTGATTGTAGCTCTGAATGCTTACCTGTTGTATATCTACCTCACACTCAATCACTCCCCATCACGCAGTCTCACGCTCACACGAATACTAATATTCCCTTAATATCTTTAACGGACATTTGAGGCAAGTTGTATTACTGAGCACCTATGAAGTCCGGCACAGCACACGATGGGGCGTGTGGCCAGCCGCCTTTGTCTTTCTCTTGCCAATGTTTACACACCGCACCAGCTACTCATTTGAGGCTGAGTCGGCCTATGGGAATCACAGGACCGGTACAGATACTTGTCAACGATGTTGACCGTGAGCGGGAATCGAACTTGGGTGGCGTAGCGCACGGACCGTATGCCCACACTCTCAACAACAACCACGAAGTGGCCCTCACGTCACCACGGCGCTTGTGCCAGGCCAGGTGCACTTTGAGGAAACGTGAAATTGCGAAGGCCCGCTGGCAGGAGGTCACAAGACCCAGGTGCCATGGGCTGACTGACTGAGATGACCGGCCGATGGAATAATCGTGCTCCCCACGATGCCGTCCCGCGCTCCGCTCGTTATTGTTCGTTGTTGCCGGACTGCCACTGCCTCCAACTCCCCAGCAGCGTCCTTCACGAACCTTCGCCACAGAGGCCGATCTTGACACCGCTTGTACCGGTCATAGGACATCCTTCCCTGTACCACACAAGTGCCGCGCCCGTGTAGCCCCCCATCCCCCCTATCCGGCAGCACAGAAGCTGCTTGGGGCATGAGGGTTCAGTGTGCCCAGCACTCTCACGCAGCGGCACTCTCATGCAGTGTGACTCAAAGATCCCCGTATAACATTGATCAAAATGTTCAAGCAAGTTTATGTTTGCAAACCTATTTACACATCGCACCAGGTTCTCGTTTGAGTTGAAGTCGACATCGGGGAGGCCCAGGACCGGTTCAGATGATCGTCAGTGGCGTTCGCCGTGAGCGGGAATCGAACTCGGGTGGCCGGGTTCGGAGCGCAGCGTAGCGCTAACCACTCCACCACCGCTCCCCATTATCACCCTCACACACACCGTGACACAGCGTCACCCTCACACACACCGTGACACAGCGTCACCCTCACACAGCGTCACCCTCACACACACCCTCACACACACCGTGACACAGCGTCACCCTCACACACACCGTGACACACACCGTGACACACAGCGTCACCCTCACACACACCGTGACACACACCGTGACACACAGCGTCACCCTCACACACACCGTGACACAGCGTCACCCTCACACACACCGTGACACAGCGTCACCCTCACACAGCGTCACCCTCACACACACCGTGACACACACCGTGACACACAGCATCACCCTCACACACACCGTGACACACACCGTGACACACAGCGTCACCCTCACACACACCGTGACACACACCGTGACACACAGCGTCACCCTCACACACACCGTGACACACAGCGTCACCCACACACACACCGTGATACACACCGTGACACAGCGTCACCCTCACACACACCGTGACACACACCGTGACACACAGCGTCACCCTCACGCACGGGCAGCTCGGTGGCTGATGACGACCTTCCTGCTGTGCCCGTGGTGCGCGGCGCCCCGCGTCTCCTCGGCGCGCGCGGGCCGCTCCGCGCCGCGCACCATCTCGCCCAGGAAGGCGATGTAGCCGATGGCGAGACGCAAAGTGTCCACCTTGGACAGGCGCCGTTCGTAGGGCAGCGTGGGGATGTGGGCGCGCAGCCCCTCGAACGCCGCGTTGATGGACTCCATGCGCCGCCGCTCGCGCTGGTTCGCCGCCTGTCGGTGCCGCTCCGAGTCCCCCGACACCGCGCCCGCGCCGCGCCTGGGACGCCTCCTCTTCCTCCTCCTGCTGCTGCTGCCGCTGCCGCTGCTAGCGGGCCCTGCCACGCCGCCAAGCAGTAAGGAGTCGCGTCTCTGCAGCTCCGGAAAGAGGTTGTCGTTGCAGAAGTCGTCGGCGCCCAGGAACGGCGGGGAGAAGCAGCCCAACATCACCATCCCGGCCAGGGCGCCGCGCTCCGCATCCATTGCGCCGCGCGCGCCGAGCTGCGCCACGCGGGGAGGGACCGGCGTCCGGGTTTATATGGGACGCGCGCACGCACACCCACACGCGAGACGCGCGTGCACAACAACAACAACAACCGACGTTCGCCACGACGGCACTTGTGCCAGGCTACGTGCACCTTGTGGCCACGTGAAGTGTCGAAGGCTCGTCACGGGACAGTCGACCATGAGTGGGTTGACTGATATGACTGGAAGATGCATCACCTGTGCTCCCCACTGTGCCATGCGCACTCACAAACAGACGCGCGCACAGACAAATACACGCGCACAAGCACAAAGACAATACAGATAAAATCCCCCGTATAGCCTTAACAGGCCTCTGGGGCACGTGCAGTTAGCTAGCACATTTGAAGGTCGAAACGGTACAAGAGGGGGTTGGTAACCAGAACCACGCCCGACCGCCTTTGTCTCCCCAGTGGCGATGGTTAGACACTTTACCAGATAATAATTTGAGGCTGAGTCGATCTAGGGGAGGCTCAGTAACGGCTCAGATAATCGTGACCGGTGTTGACAATTAATTGAGAATTTAACTCGAGTGGCCAGGTTTGTAGCGCAGTGTGCTAACCTCTACTCTACAGCTATCCCCACACACACACACGCACGCTTTCGCACACCCCTATAACACGGCGCTTGTGCCAGGCTAGGATCACCTTGAGGCCACGTGAAGTGTGGAAGGTTGACAGGTACCGGACAGACCAGGTGTAATGGCTTGACTGAGATTATTGATAGATGCACCACCTGTCCTCCCCATTGTGTTAGTCTGGGGAGTTCTGGACTGCCCACCCAATGCAGCCATAGCAGCTCCAGTAAGCCACAGTCCTGAACCTCACCTATTTGCCCTCAGCACCAGGGAGAGGCGAGGACGATGCCAAAGCCAAGCTCTAAGCGTTGATGACTTTTTGCTTGACACTTTCATCATCCATAATATAAGTTTTTGGGTTAGATCGCGTAAATATGTGTCGTTAAACACGCCACCACCTGATAAGCCAATTAGTAAGGTTTGTCATGAAAGCAAAACGTGCCAATTCGTTACTCGTACAGCACACCTGTGTGTTGGAGAATAAACCCACAACATTTGCTATTCGAGTACCACGTTTCGCTAGAAATTACAATAGCATCATCAGGCATATGAGCCAATCAGGTGCGAAGGTCAGTGGTTAATGTATGCATATAAATTATAATGACATCCATTACCGGTTGGGTTATTCATAGCGTAATGAGCATATATTATGCATGCACATTATGCATGCACAACATTCTGCCATTGTGGTTGCCAGAAATCGCAATACTTGTTATTGTCTGCTCACATATGGTGACCTGCATAGACATGCAGTTAAACAGTGTATTACTTGATCATTCGCTTCCAAACAGCACTAAGCCTGTAGCTATCACAAAAAATAAAATACATGTTATTTCTCTCAATTTCGATAGATTATCTAATTAGTCTTAGCCAGTAGTAACTAGTTTTACACTTCACTTACACATTATAAAAATGAATTGAGTTGACACACGTGTTCTGCCAATGTCGACAGTTGTATTTGAGAGTATTTAATATTCCTTTGGTGTTCTTTTAGACTCATGCTAATCATGCGTCCTGTCTGACCAAGATAGTATTAGCCACAGGAGCAATTAATCCGGTACACACCTTCTGTTCATAGCTTCGGTAATACATTTTTAGTACCAGATATTAGGTTTTGTATTATATGTACCGTACCAAAATTCACTCAAATGTTTTGTTTCGTCAAAAAACCTGGCTGGTTTATCAGTTACTCCTGCAATGTACGGTATTTTTTATAGTTTTGATTTCTTGATCAGTTTCAACGCTTGTGCTATTTGATTTGGTTTTGGCATTCAGTGCCCTTTTGATGTTTGCATCATTGTAACCGTTCAATTGCAGCGCTTCTTTAACATGTGTAATGACAGGGTGCCACCTGTCGGCCTGGAAGGGTGATCACGAGTATGGGCAAGGTTATGTAAAGGTAAAAGGTGGGGTTAGTCGGGAAGCTCCAGGAACCTGCTCGAAGGTTCTGGAAGGGGGCGTAGCCAGAAGCGGGCCAGGCCACGCCGTGAGGTATATAAGGGAGATGGAACCGAAGGTTCAGGGTTGTCGCGGGGTCCCGGGTCCTGGCTGCGTCGCTGCTCGCCGTCATCTCTCTCCGTCATCTGGCCGCATGGAAGATCCTCTGCACGGCTCCCATCGCCATCATCGTCACGCTCGTCAGTCAGCTGTGTGGTTGGATGTAGGCGATGGGACTATGTAGAGAGGTCGGCTGTGCGTAGCTAAAGTAGAGACATATATATTACCCAGTGTTGTGCCCAGTGAGAGGAGACGTATATATATATGTATCTATAAATGTATCGGCCTGAGTTGTGCCAGTATGAGAACAAATAAGAAGAAGCCCTCTACACGTCGTGTCTCGGAAGTCGCTCATTACATTTAGAGTCAGAAGTGGTTGAAAAGAATTTTCTTACTAATCAGCGAAGGAGGAAGTATGTCTAAGTACCAGTAGAAGCGGAACCCACTTGTGGCGTCTTCCAAACACGATGAAAAGATGCGCAGGACCTCCGAACAGCCCCCGGGAACCGTGGTCCTTGTTATTGAAGCCGCGGTGGGAGAGTTGGCTGCGCCAGAGACGGTGGGACCGGGAGCAGCCTCTCTGCAGCAGCAGCCCGAAGAGGGCTGGCACCTGGTGTCGGCGCAACTTGAGCCCCTGCGGGCGATGGTCTTGCAGTTGGTGGTGCTCATGATGGCGACTACAATGGAGGGGTGGACTACACAGACCTCACCGGAGAGGAGCAACCAGGCGCCGGGGTTCGACGTTCAAGCGGGCACGTCCACAAGCGCGACGGCCGCCATTACATGTGGCGTGGAGAGTACGCGGCCGTAGGCCGCCATTACGCATGGCGCAGGAGAAGCGCGGGCGTGATTCGCCGGAAGCGACGCCCACTGATGGAAACGGGGAAAGAAGAACCGAACGAACTCGCCAATTACCTCCTGCAAGAGAATTAATCGCGGCAAGGGGCGATTGGAGCACCTTCACTTGGCGTTTTGAAGCGGCCTTCCGATCGGTGAATTGGACCGAAGAGGAGGCGCTGAAAGCTCTGCCAACGGTTATGGATGACGACGCTTTTGCTGTCTTCAGGACCATACCCACTGCAAAGAAGACTACACTTCAGGGTGCTTATGCTGAAATGGCAGAGGTGTACAAACCACCTTCCGATACCCGCAAGAAGTTTCTGCAGCGTAGGCGAGGGGAGGCCGAGACGCCTCTCGCCTACCGCAGCGCGTTGTTGGTGCTGGGAGAAGCGGCGTACTCCGCGGTGGACCTGAAAGCCATCGACTCGCTTGTCATGGAAAGAATGTTGGGTCCAGCACGAGAAATGAGAGTTGTCTTTCCGGTGATTGATGAAGACAAACAGACATCCCAATGGGCCGCCAGATGCCTGCAGGCTCACGAGAATTTGCATCAGTGGTCACAAATGGCGGCGTGGACGGGAGAACCCAGCCAAGATGGTGTGCCGGATGGGTGGTCGCCACGAAACGTTGTGGTGCAGCCGGCCGTGGACCGGCCGTCGGACGAGGACGTCGCAGCTGCGGTCCTGGTGTGGAGTCGGAGTCGTGGAGATGGCACGCGGCGTCAGAGGAGCTGAAGACCGCGTGAGGAAGAAGATCGGCTGCTGCGGAGGCCCTTGCTTATCTGCTTTCGCTGCGGCCAGCCGGGGCATTTCGCGCGGGGGTGTCAGAACCTTCCTCGAGCCCCGACGACGACTCCGGCGCCCCCGGCTCCACCGACGGCTGCATCTCAACTCCAACAGGCGAGTTGCGGCACATCAGACACCTGGCCCATATTGCAATCTCAGACATCTAGGGGTTCGAGGGTCATCTCCACCCAGCATTGCACACATATTGACGCCGGGCGGCAGAATTTTGTTACACAGGGTTGGCCTAGCTCAAGTACACAGTGGAGGAAAGTGGCGTGTTGAGTGATCGCGTCTGCTGCGGGTTCCTTGGCGGTGTCGGGTTCTATTCAGGGAATTGAGGTTCGTGTCCTAGTGGACGCGGGTGTTTCTGCCACCATTATATCTGACGTAATTTTTCAATTGTTGCTGATGAGTAACTGGCATGTGAAACCAGTTAATGCATGCATCACGGCGAACGGGGGGAGTATGGGTATCATTGGCCAGGTGGAGACCTGCGTCGAAATTTGCGAGATCGGTGTTGTTGGGCCTGTGCTGATCTCAAGGATGCTGGCGGTGCCCTGCCTTTTGGGTACTGGCTTTTTGAGTAAAATGCTCGTTAAGATCCTGGTCGATTAGGGCTGTGTGGAGATGCCGTCGGGCCGTAAATTGTTCTTTTTACCATCTCCACATAAAAGTACTTTAGCGAGTGTTACAGTCCAGGCCCTTTCCAGGGACTCGTTGAAGATTCCACCAATCTCGCAGATGCTTGTACCATTGCACTATCCCAAGCGATTGCTTAATGTTGATCCGGAGGCGGGCGTCTTTTTGACTCCGCCTAACACAGCGATCTGTGGGTTGGCGCCTGTAGGCGCACAGATGGTCCTTTGCCTCAACCAGGAGCCGTTCTTGCAAGTGCTCAATGTGTGGCCGGGGACGGCTGTGGTCCAGGCGGCATCTTACAGCCATCATGGCAGCTCTCGAGGAGGTAGAGCTCGCCGAGGTGGTCGCGCCGGGTGACAGTGTTTTGCACCTTGCGCACGCTGAGTGGGGGCGGTTGGAAATGGAAGATGTGTCCCTTATGGCCTTGCGGCGTCGAGCGGAGTTGAGCCACAAAGTGTCTGCTCTCACTGACGGGCCGTGACCGATCCTTCAGGAGGGCCTGTTGATGTTAAGGGAGGATGATGCACCGTTGTCGTGTTGTCGTCCCCACCGCCCTTCGAGAGACTTTGACTCGGGTGGTGCACGAGGACAAATTGTTGTATCTCGGGGTACGGAAGACATTACCAATGTTGCAACGTGATTATTATTGGCCAGGGATGTCAAG